TTTTACAATTCTGGCACGCCAAATGCTGGTGGATTCTGGGCCAGAGACCTCCAATTCATCTGGCAAGTCCCCTCTGCTGACAAACACTAGCCCTCAGCCCTCAGCCTACAGGTGTGACCAAACATTTCAGTATTTTACAATTCTGGATTTGGACTCTTTATCTGCTTTCTGCTCTGGCATCGAGGGGTTGAGTTATTCTCACTCCCTCTAGCCCTTTCAGAGAGTGGTTCCTGGCCATGTCCTGTTTTCTTCTCTTTAGATAGGGCAATACAATAAGAGAAGGAAATCAGAAGCATCCAAATAGGCAAAGATATGGTAAAACTATCATTGTATGCAGCCTATTTGATAGCATACATAGAAAATCCCAAATATTGAACAAAAAACTGTGAAACTTAGTTGTTGTTGCATGACCTTGAGTTGGAAGTGACCCATAGCTGACCATCCCGCCGGTTTTTCCGAGGCATTAAATAGCATGGGAAGAGATTGCCCAAACAATTTATGAAATAGCAAGATATAAGATCAACATAAAGAAGTAAGTTGGATTTCTCTACAGGATCAAAGAATGCATAGAAAAGGAAACTTGAAAAGCAATATTTACCTCAGCAAACCACAAGATAAAATGTTGTTGCCGTTGGGTGCTGTCGAGTTGAGTACAACTCATAGTGAACCTATGAACAAAAGATCTGAACCCTGTTCTATCTTGTGCCATCCTCAAATTTCCTGGCACACAAGAGTCCTTTGGAGCAGTCAGCGTGTCAATCCATGTGGTTGAGGGTCTTCCTCTCCTTCACCGACCCTCCATCCTTTCCAACATCACGTCCTTCAAGGAACAGCACCTCCTTAGCAACATGCCCAAAGTATGTGAGGCAAAGCCTCATTATTCTTGCCTTCAAAGAGCACTCTGGTTGCACCTTCTCCAAAACATACTTGTTTGTTCTCTTGGCCATGCACAGGATGTTCAGTACTCTTCTCCAACACAGCTCAAAGATGTCAATACTTTTCCTGTCATCCTTATTCAATGCCGAGCTCTCAGATGCATAACAAGTAATCAGAAAGACTATGGCCTGAATCAGACACATCTAATCCTCAAACTGATAATTTGGAGTGGTCCCTAACTGCAGATAAAATACTTAGGAATAAATGTTAATTAGAGATGCAAAAGACCTTTAGAGGGAAAACTACAAAATCCTACTCTAAGAAACAATAAAAATCCTAACTACATTGAAAAAAATATTTCTTGTTCATATACAGGAGCACTTAACAGAATGAAAATGACAATCATACCAAAAGAAATCTACTTGTTCAATGCAATCCCAATATAGGTATCAAACTCATTCTTCAAGGAGAAAGAAAATGTAATTTATAAAATAAAAATTCAAGTTTATAAAATATGATTTATAAAATATAATTTGTAGAGGAAAGAGACCTTGAATAAGCAAAACTCTTCTGAAAAATAAAAAGTAGGATGCATCAAACTCTCCAATCTTAAAACTTACTGCATAGCTATAAGCTGATAAAAGCGCATAAACCAATGACAGACACATAGACCAATGAGAAAGACTTGAGATATCAGAAATAAGCCTATATGCCCAGAGCCAATGATATTTGAGAAACAAAACCTATTAATTGGGAAAATGACAACTTATTCAACAAATGATGCTGGCAAACCGAACATCAACCTGCAGAAAACTGAAGCAGAATCGACATTTCATACCACTCACAAAAGCCAACTCATGGTGGATCAGAGACCTAGGGATAAAACTCTAAACCATAACAATCATAAGAGCCAAAATAATAATAAACTTAAAAATCTTAACCTACATCATAAATAGGCTTGCAAATACAGCCAAACACACAGAACCAGGAGAGGATAAATTTGGCAAATGAGACCTTCTTACAATCAAATCGCTGTGTGCATCATAAACTTTTCCCAGAAGAAAGCTCACAGAATGAGGAAAAACACCGGCAATGATGTTTAAGACAAGGGTCTTATAATTTGTAACTAAATGCTCTCTGTAACTACAGAATACTACAGGACTTTCACAGGGAAAAGACTGATAATCCAATCACAAAATGGGCAAAAGACACGCAAAGACTTTACAAAGGAGCACATTCAAGTGGCCACCAACACATGAGGAAATGCTTAAAATTACTGACCATCAGAGAGATGCAAATCAAAACCTCAGTGAGACACCATCTCACTCCAGTAGCAGTTGCAAAGCTTAACATAACAGCAAATAAGACATTTTGGAAAGGATGCAGAGAGATTTGAACTTTCATGCACTGTTGGTGGCACTGTAAAATGGAACACATTTTAATGTTTCTTCAAAAAGCTGAACAAAGAAATTCCATATGACCCAGCCATTCTATTACTGGGAATGGACCCCAAGGAACTCAGAACTGAGACAAAAACAATCTGTATACCTATATTCACAGCAGCATTACTCATACTGCTATTAGGTGCTGGTGAGTCCAGTACAACCCTTAGTGAACCTGTAAACAACAGATCAGAACCCTGTCCTCTCTGGTATCATCTTCACACTTCCTGACACGTTAGAGTCCATTGCAGCAGCCACTGGGTCAAGCCTCCTGGAGAGGGTCTTCTTCTCTTTTGCTGACCTTCTACCGTTCTGAGTATCATGTCCTTCTCCAGGGAAGGACACCTTTCAGCAACGTGCCCAGAGGACATGAAGACTTTTCCCCAAAGAAGACAGAGTGCTCCCTGCTGTCACAAATTTATAAATTATGCGTTCTTCATAATAGCAAGAAAAAGTAAACAACCCAACTCATCAACCAGTGAATGGACATGGCTGTGGTGTAGTTACACAGTGGAATACGATGCAGATTTGGGTTTGTGGGGCTTTTTTGGCCTAAATGTTCAATTTCCTCTAAATAGGCCAGGTTTTAGGATGCTAAGAGTCATGTGCCAAATTTCATTGGCTTAAAACTGCTCAGGACTATTTTTTGCTCACGGTACATCTGTCTCTATCTCTGTCTTCATCGCTGTCTCCGTTGCCATCTCCATTTCAACGTCTGTCTCTATCTCATCTACATCATTCTGTTTCATGTCGTCCTCACTCCAGGATTCAGGCTGACAGAGCAGCCTTCCTCTGGAGGAGTGTAGAAAGCCCAATGAGTTTGGAAATTGCAAAATGGTTTTTAGTTTCCACCTGAAAAGTGACATATCTTCTCAGTTTGCATTTTATTGGTGAAAGAAAAATGTTTGAGCCACACTTGACATCTAAGTGCTAGGGACACACAACTTATCACAAACCTGGGAGCTAACCCCCAAATATTTTATACTTGTATTAATGGCTCCTCTTAGTCCCCAGTTGCTTTATGGATGAAATGCACAAGTACAATCAAATCCCTGTATGAATATTGTGTCCTTGGACAGTCAATAGTGTTGTATAGCTTTGGGCAAATTACCTAGTAATTGCATATAATAATAACACAACAGGGTTGTTGTGAACAATAAACGAAGAAACTTTTCTGTTACACTTTTCAAAAAATAAAATTGAGCACACATTGTAGATAGATCATTTTATATTCTGCTTTTAAATGTAACATTATTTCACAAACATTTCCCCAAGTTATTATAAACTCCTTGTAGGAATCCTTATTATATTAGAATAATATTACAGGACACATTCTAAAATAAGATACACATTTCTGTATAAAAGGGCATTTTGCATTTGTAAGATGTTTCCAATTTTCAGTGGCTCCTTATCGTCCAAATAGGTGCCACTTCATTAAAGGAGGACTCAAAAGCCCAGGCTGGAATTGCCCCCAACGGCTCCCTGGTGAGATGAATCAAGCTTCCCACTGAGAGTGGAGGGCTCCAGCACATCTCCTATCTCCAGACAAAGGTTAGGGAGGACTTCTCCCCAAAGAACAGAGAGCTCACTGCTGTTTTGTAGGTCAAGGAGAAAGCCCCAAGGTAGATGTAGGGGAGAAAAAGTGCATTTACCAGAGGAAACGGATAAATTAAAACTGCTGCACAGCAAACGTTTGGTCACTGCTGTATGAATGCTGGAGAAGAGAACTTACTGCCCTTAATCTCGAAGGCATGTGGTTCAAGGCCACCAGCTGCTCTGTGGGAGAAGGATGGGCAATCTCCTCCCCTACCATTAACTGCCTCTGAAAACCTGCCTCAGAGTCAACTGTGGGTCAGTTCGGACTTTGCGGTACAACAACAAAGTTCATGCAATCATAAATATAAGACAGGTCACCTACACGTCTCACTTTCTCTGCAGTGTTCCATGCCATGGTCACGTACATGTTGTTACATAACAAAGAGTCAAACTGACTCACAGCTGACCCTCTGGCAGGTTTTCAGAGGTTGTGAATCACATGGGAGGAGACTGTTTGTCTTTCTCTCCATCGTGTATTTGTTGTTGTTGTTGTAACTGTCAAGTGGGAACTGACTCATAGCTGACGCTCCAGCGAGTTTTCAATCACGAGAGGAGATTGCCCATCCTTCTCCCGCAGAGCTGCTGGTGACCTTGAACTGCGGGCTTTTAGGATTGCAGTTCAGCTTCTTACCACTAGGCCATCAAAGTGTGTCTAGGATCCTGACACAGTTGGGTTCTTAACAAACAAGCAAAACACAGCAACAACAAAAACCTTTTGTAAAATAATGCTCTCTTACATTTTTATTTAGTATTGCCATCTGAGCGTAAGTTTATGAAGTCAACTGGTTTCCCCCTTCAACTATTCATATGTATTTTTTGCTTTATAACATTAGTGATGATACCCACTCTGTGAGTGTAGCCTTCCCAGTCCCTCCCTGTAATTCTCATTTCCATTAATACCCTCTATCCTGCTGCTTCTTGCCCTCATGGTTTCATCCTTGGGCAAACACCACTCTTCTGATTTTATATGGTTGGTATTAGCCACAATCACAAGACCACCCCCCTCCCCCATCTAGTTATGACCTCACAGAAGACCCTGCTAAATTGCTAAGTCCCCTCCCCTAAAAAAATTTCCCGAACGGCAACATGGCAGTGCCAGGAGCAGGAGACCCTCCAAATGCTAAGAGTGGAAAGGGCCCAGTGGCTCAGCGTATCGACCCAACTCAGGAAAAATTGACTCCCACGCAGCTGCAATTCATGCAGCAGGTGCAACTCGCCCAGTGGCAGAAGACACTGCCACAGCGGCGGACCTGGAACATCGGGACAGGCCTGGGCATCCGGGCCCTAGTGCTTGCTATTTATGGCTACACCTTCTACTCAGAGTCACAGGAACGTTTCCTAGATGAACTAGAGGACGAGGCCAAAGCTGCCAGAGCCAGAGACATGGCAAGAGCGTCGAGCTCCTGAACTACATGGCCCCTGGGCATTGCCAGCCTGCTGGAGCCCCTTCACATGGTGAGTGATGCACTACAGTCCTGTAGAAAGTGAAGCCTGCTCACTGTTTTGTTGACCTTATCTGCTACCATGTTCCAGCCCAGGAATCTGGAGACTTAGGCATTCCGCCACAGTGAAAGGAACTTTGTCCATCTCCCACACTCACTGTGCAGTTACCGAGCCCTTCTTGTAGTTTCCTTGTTTGATGAGTGTGCAACCCTGACTATTCTGAAGAGCCCTGACTAGTTTACCCCCTACGTGCTTATGGGCATGACTCTTCTAAGGGTGGGAGGTGGCACTTCCTAGCAATGTTGGAGCCTGAAGTGGGAATGCTGGGGTCAAGTTCAAAATAATAAATTGAGTCAGCTCTCTCAGAAAAAAAAAAGTCCCCTCCCCCTGACAATCTCTCCTTAAATCACGATATATGTCCCCCTCACACTTTTCCATGTGGATCTTCTTGCTGGTTCAGGCTGAGCCCAGTTCTGGCTGGCTTAATAAAGCTGGCGCAATTGTAGAGGTTGTGTGTCTAATGCTTCTTTCTTTACGCCACTTCTTAAGCTATAGTTGGTTATTGTAAAGAGTAAGTGTCTCCTGACATTATTGCTCATTTTTTAGATCAGTCTCTGGTGGCCTAGTGGCAAGCAGCTAGCCTGCAATCCTGAAGGCACATGGTTCTTCTCTGCCGGAGAAGGCTAGGCAATCTCCTCCCTTGTGATTAACTGCCTCTGAAAACCGACTGGAGGGTCAGCTATGGGTCGCTCTGATTGGATGGTACACAACTACAACAACAACAACAACATTGTTTGAATGGTGAGCCTTGTGGGGGTGCAGGTAGTGGGGGGGGGTAGAAGGAAGGTAGGAGAGTGAAGTAGATGATGGTGGTGAGTTTTGTTCCAAGTCCAAGAAGTGATTAAGGACCACAGTCCTGAGGAGTTCCAGCAGTCTTCATTGGTATATATGCTATTTTTAGAAGTGTTGTTTCTTTGTTCTTAATTCTTAACTTCTGCCCATTTGTCCTCCCAATCCCCAACCTTTCCATCTCTGCCAAAGAGCCAAGAGGAGAGGAGAATTGAAGAACTGAGGGGAATGTAAATCACCTCCGATTTATTCACACATTGTTTCCCTTATTCCCTTCACAAGCATTTACTGAGAGCTCCCTTCTGGGGGACACAGGGTTGATGTGTTATGGACAACTTTGAGAAGAATGGGAATCTCATCTTAGTTGTGTATCTGCAAAATCTATACATAGACCAAGATGCAGCTGTCCAAACAGAAAACAAGGGACGCTGAACAGCTTAAAATCAGAATAGGGGTTCTTCAGGGTTGTATTATTTCTCTGTATCTATGCAATCTATATGCAGAGCAAATGATTCCAGAAACTGAACTATATTAAGAAGAATGTGTGGCATCATTGAAGGAAGACTCATCAACAACCGGTATCATGCAGATGATGCAAGCTTGCGTGCAGAAAGTGAAGAAGCCTTTGGCACTTACTGGAAAGAAATCAGACTACAATCTTCACTGTGGATTTCATCTCAACATCAAGAAAACAAAAATCCTAACTTGTGGGCCAATAGGCAACATCATGATAGCTGGAAAAAAGATTGAGGTTGCCAAGGATTTGATTTTACTTGGATCCATAACGAACATGCATAGTAGCAGTCAAAAAAGACATGTTACCTTGGGAAAAATCTGCTGTCAAGGATTTCTGCAAAATGCTAATGAGCAAGGATGTCAGTTTAAAGGTTAAGGTGTACCTGATCCAATTGTTTGGTATGAATCTGAAAGTTGGACAGTGAATGAGGACAACCAAAGGAAAGTCTGTCTCTTTGAATTGTGCTCTTGGAGAAGAGTTCTGAATATTTAATAGGCTACCAAAGTCCACAGTCAACATTCTTGGCACCAGCAGCTAGGAAATTAAAAGACGTATTGTGATGGGAAAGTCTGCTGTTAGGGACCTCTCCAAAGTACTGAAGAGAAATGGGCTCTCTCTGGAGACTAAGGTGCACCTGATACAGGCCATGTTCTTTGCAATCACTTGTTATGCATAAGAGAATTGGACAATGAGTAGGGAGGATAGAAGGAGAATTGATGCCTTTGAGCTGTGGTGCTGGAGAAGAGTATTGAGAATACCATGGACTGCCAAGAAAACAAACAGATTCATCACAGAGAGGGTTAAATCAGGCGGCTCCTTGGAGGCAAGGATCCTGAGGCTTTGCCTGACATACTTTGAAGATGTTGTAAGGAGGAGAGGGACATCATACTTGGGAGGGTGGAGGGACGGCGGAGGAGAGGAAGACCCTCTATGAGGTGGATTGATTCAATGACTGGGGTAATTGGCATGGGTGTGTCAGAGACAGTGTGATTGGCACAGAACAGAGCAGAGTTTAGGGCTGTTGTACATAGGGTCGCTATGAGTCTCAAGTGACTCAACAGCACATAACAACAACAACAACCAAAGAACAATCCAGTCTGTCTTAGAGGAAGTGTAGCCAGGGTACACTTTACATACAAGGATAATGAAACTTTGTTGCGTATATTTGGGGCATGTTGTTAAGAGGGGCCAACCCTTGGGAAAAGACATCATGCTTACAAGGAGGAGGGTCAGAAAAAGAGAAGAAGACCCCCAACAAGGTGGACTGACGTTGTGACTGTAACCACAGACTATAGACATGTCAGAAATAGTGAGGATTGTACAAAGCAGGACAACGTTGTGATCTGTTATCATAGGGTCACCATGAGTGGTAGCTGACACAATGGACGTAATAAGAAGTATCTTGAACGGAAACACAAAGGGGAGGCTGGGTCAGGGAATCAATTTGAAACGCGTCTTATTCACATTGTCTGTAAGGACAGATGTCCTCCCAAAATGTCTGAGATTAAAAAAAAAAGTTGTATAATCAAAACCAGTGTGTGCTTAATTATAATTTACAAAATGTATACATAATTTTGCATTCATGCATAATTTGTACAGTTAATGATTTGTTAGGGTCTCTGGGCGGCGCAAGCCTTTTCCCCTTGACTGTCACCTCAACACTTAGTGGTTGGAACTTAGTGGTGGGAAATGCCTGGAGATCTGCTTAATTAAGATTACAACCAAGAAAACCTTATAAGACTTATCATGTCTGTAACACGTAGACTAACATGGCTTAGAAAGAACTGGATGGCACGGGGTTAAAGGCTCCTTTGTAGTCTCATCAAGCTGCCCAATCTCTTGTCCACGCTGAGAGGAAAAATGAACCTGCATTTTGTGTGTCACCAACTGATCTCACAAAGTGGACACAGCAGTGGTCCCGGGGTCAAGTCCAGCTCTGCGGCATTGGACCATTTACTCCACCTCTAGAAATTCTGTTTTCTCTTTAGCCTAGCAGGGATAACAATGTCTCCCCACCTCCTACGGTCGTTATGAAGCAAAGCAGATAATGGATGTTGATGTGCTTTGTAAGCCAGAAGCCCTGTAGATCGAGGGCCTTCTTACCCTCCTCTGACTGCAACACTGGCTCTTCAGGCAGGTTGCTGTGCTCACGAAGGACCTCTGATGGATGCCCGGCTTCCCTGATGACAGTTTCATCTCTCCTAATGTGGAGGCAGCCACTCGGGGGGGACAGTTATTCTGGACTCAATTCTGACCGATGAGAGAGAATGGGCCAGGGTTCGTGGAATAGATACATAGGGCTTTTCAAGTCACAAAACATTTCACCTGCATCATTTCACTCAGTCCTCCCAACAGCCCTATAAGAAAATGGAGGTTTACCTGTAAGTGTTACCTGTAAGTGCGCATCTGAGTGTTGAAGAGCCGTGATCTGATCCAGGCTTTCTGATTTTACACCTTGGTCTTGTTCCCTGCGAGTTCATATGCAGACAAGATCACAAACTGATGAAATCATCCATCAATCTACTGGTCCCAGTGATTGACAGATTTTCTTTTTATGAGGGGTTAGCAATCTCAATCTTTTCACCATCTGCCTTGATGCTGCCAATTGGCCCAGTGGTGAGAACCTTTGTTTTCTTGATGTTGAGCTTTAATTCCTACTGAAGCTGCAGTCCTTGACCTTCTGCAGCAAATGCCTTAGGTCCTCCTCAGTTTCAGCAAGCAAGGTGTGTCATCTGCTTAAAGCACGTTGTTAATGAGTCTTCCTGTAATCCTGCTACCACATTCCTCCTCATAGAGCCCAGCCTCCTGGATAATCTATCTCGCATATAGATTGAAAAGGTATGGAGATAGGATGCACCCCTGGCATGCACCTATCGTGATTTTGAACCACGCAGTATTTCCTTGCTCTATTCTGACGACTGCCTCCTGGTCTAAGTGCGTATAAATACAATCAAATGTTCTGGGATTTTCATTCTTCTCAGAGTCAGCCACAGCTTGTTGTGATCCACACAGTCAAATGCCTTTGCATGGTCAATGAAGCAAAGATAGACATTCCTCTGGTACTCTTTGCTTTGCGCTAAGATCCCTCTAACATAGGCTATCATGTCACTAGTGTCACTGCCTCTTCTCTTGTTCCTGGTAGGTGAAGCCAAGTCCAAGGCTTTAGATAGCCCTCCTAACTGACTCAACACATGGTTCTCTCTGTTACTCTGCTTTGATTTTTCTACAGAAACTCTTGCCTGGAATGGGTGAGCTGGAGGGTGGAATATTGATTCGCTAGGGGAAGTGAGGCCTTTGTGATAAAGCCTTCTATTTAAAAATCCATGCACTTAGGTAGCATGGTGCTGGAGACCAGTTTGAAAGTCATCTACTGGAGCTGGTTCTACAGAAGCTCTTGACTGGAATGGGTTGACTTATATAAAAATTGCATTTATTTCTCTGAGTTTAACATTGTTCTTTCTCTAGCATCCTCTTTGAAATCAAGTAGTCATGGCAGCCATAACTAAAAACTAGGAGGTGGGATTTAAGATGTTAATATCTCAGTTACTTGCTGTTTGACCCAGGAAAAGAAAACAGAAGAAAAGGATGCAAGCTGGCA